CTCCTATCTTCACTACTGAATAGGTTTGAGCACCACACCAGCCATAAAAAATGCCCACAAGAAATGGGAAGATGAAAGAGAAGACCAGATTGTTAGAGAATCGTTGCAATACTTTGCTGATCCGTGCTTCGTTGTCCCAGAAGTAGGTCCCTAAGAAATACATAAATTCACTCCTCAAACCTGTGTTCTCCACTACCAGATTGTGAGAAAATATGCTTGCAAAAGGCTGTTTAACCAGAAACTTAGGGTTTTATCCAGACCAGCGAATCTGGGCATCTAACAAAGCAGCCAGCAATCCTGTTGATTCTCTGTTAATTTCCTCCATGATCCTACGCCACTGAGGGTGGGATATGAGATGAGGACTTCACATGAAAAATCAGGCCTCTAGCTTTTAACAGCTAAAATGGGTATTAGCTACAGAAGCAGAGTGAATATAAGTTGGGTGGGTATGTTTGTTTAGATAACAACATTTGGCTAGAGTATTGTGTACACAAAAACAGTTTGTTCCTAGAAGGGGGATGTGGTAAATGCTTAGGAGTAAATTCAATAATCTCATCTGCAGCTGTTAGGAGGCAGCATATGGGTATCTTGACAAGGGGTGTCTAACTTCTGGGACAATGAGTCACCAAGGTAACTGTATGTGGTACGGCTACTTACTGTATCAGTCTGTGTCTAGCAGAGCTGAAGGTATCCTGTAGGACCTGACTGGCATGTCTGTAATAAGGCAGTAAATCCTGAACAAGCTAACTGATACTGCCTTGCAATTACTCCAGGTCCCAGACTATGTTACTACAGGACCATGTATATTTCCTACAGGAAAATGACACTCCTTGGCGATGCTTATTGTAGTTCTGCAAAGTGCTTTACACGCCTCCTGCACGAATGATGCTTCAGTGTACTGTGTAAGGCATTCTTATTAAGCAAATGATTGTTTATCGATATGGAAAACCACTTTAAAAGGTTGGATGTGTATTATGCAATTTAAGCTTGAAACACTTGCCCCCAAATTGTTGGGTCTATTTTTAAAAAGTAGAATGATCTCTTTGTAAAATTGTCACATGTTAATTGTGTGGCTAGCTGCATTTTAAAAGCATTTATACTTACTTTTTAGCTATCATCCAGATCAGATGTTTTATTTAAAAGAGGTACCTAATTCTTCTATAGCTCCTCTTAATCTGAAAACTCACTTTATAAATATCATGAATTCATCCTCACAGCATCCCTGTGGGACAGGGGAGCCATTTCAGCCAGTATCCTCAAAACTGGATACCTAGAGTTACACACCTACATCTAAATTCAGGCATCTCAAGAAGTGGTCTGGTTTTTCAGAGGCACTAAGTAACCATGGCTTTCATGGAAGTCGATGAGAGCTGCAACTGTTGAGCACTGCTGAAAATCAAATAGCTTTTTAGGTGCTGTCATAAATATAAAGGGAAGGGTAAACACCTTTAAATCCCTCCTGGCCAGAGGAAAAGCCCGTTCACCTGTAAAGGGTTAAGAAGCTAAGGTAACCCTGCTGGCACCTGACCAAAATGACCAATGAGGACACAAGATACTTTCAAAGCTGGAGGGGAGGAAAAACAAAGGGTTCTCTCTATCTGTGTGTTGCTTTTGCCAGGATCAGAGCAGGAATGCAGGTCAGAACTCCTGTAAAGAGTTAATAAGCAATCTAGTTAGATATGCATTAGATTCTGTTTTGTTTAAACGGCTGATACAATAAGTTGTGCTGAATGGAATGTATATTCCTGTTTTTGTGTCTTTTTGTGACTTAAGGTTTTGCCTAGAGGGATTCTCTATGTTTTGAATCTGATTACCCTGTAAGGTATTTACCATCCTGATTTTACAGAGGTGATTCTTTTACTTTTTCTTTCATTAAAATTCTTCTTTTAAGATCCTGATTGCTTTTTCATTGTTCTTAAGATCCAAGGGTTTGGGTCTGTGTTCATTTATGCAAATTGGTGAGGATTTTTATCAAGCCTTCCCCAGGAAAAGGGGTGTAGGACTTGGGGGGATTTTGGGGAGAAAGATGTTTCCAAGTGGGCTCTTTCCCTGTTATTTTTGTTAGACGCTTGGTGGTGGCAGCAATAAGGTCCAGGGACAAAAGACAAAATAGTTTGTACCTTGGGGAAGTTTTAACCTAAGCTGGTAAAAATAAGCTTAGGGGGTTTTTCATGCAGGTCCCCACATCTGTACCCTAGAGTTCAGAGTGGGGAAGGAACCTTGACAGGTTCCTAACTTTAAGCACCCAGATTTGGAAAATGTCCTTCATTTCCATTTGTTGCAATATGTTAATATAATAGAGATGACATACTAATAGCAAAGCATTCTCTCGCACCATTAACTGCCCTGTGAACATAAACAGTGGCATCTGAAAAGCTATTCCGAGTCATGAGGTGTAAGTGTCCATATCCATTCATCGTTAGTAAGAAAAAAATATTATCAAATACATTTGTTTTGAAATGTCTCCCATGAGACAAAGAAATATAACTACGGTTTGACAAAGTTGCCTCTTTATAATAATGAGCAAGTCTGCAAAGATGAGCACCAAGGAGACTGAAATATAATGATAGGGTGGCATAAGTCTGTCATGACAACAGAAGGGCATTAACTCTTCAGGTCTAACAAAACTAACTCAGTTGATCCTGCAGAAACTTGCTATGTACTTACCTTCTAATCATCTGATTAATCCCAGTGAATTTAATGAAACTACTCATGTGCTCAAAGTTAAGCATGTGCCTATATCTTTGCCTAAATGAAAATACATCATTATAAATGAAGTCTGGGTCAAGTTAGAATACGATTATCACTGTCAGATAGGGAACTGCAGAGTTTTTCATGGTAAGAAATCAGAGGTGATTTATGTATCTTGGTTACCTAGTAGTTTCTCAACAAACCTCCACATTACATATATAGGCACTCACTGTCTACAAGTAAGATCTGCGAGGATGCCACAAGGTAGTGAAAAACTAAAACTGTGTCATTAAATTCATAATAGATTTTGGATATTGCCAGAAAGACATGTTTAGGTTTCTGGATATTGTTCATAGACCAAGCTTAGAACTCTTGAGCTCATCGTGTGTCTTTTTGCTTCCACATCTTGATAAATTCAGGGACACACTTCTGAAAAGGTCTGTCAGCAACGGTCTCTTCTGTACACACCCTCTTTTCCAGGGGTCTATGCTTCAAGTCTCTGAACTGGAGGCTTTTGCCCACACACACTGGTTTGTGCTTTTGGTCATGCTATGCACAGAGCTGGGAGGAATTCTGTTTCATAAAGAGGAAACTAGATACATTTGATGGCTTTCTAAATGCATGTTTTCTCTTATTTCTGAGGCAGGGAAAGTTATGGTTTAGCATCCCTACACCACTCTGTAGGTCTCTGTGCAATCTCAGTTTCTATAGAGGATTTAATGGGGAATAGAAATCATGTGGTGGTGGTGGTGGGGTATTTGAGAATTTTTTTTTAAAAAGGCTGTATGTTGATAAAAATAGTAAGTAACCTAGACTACTTCATAACAGTTTCATCTTTAAGTTCATGCAAGTTTAGGGAACTGTAAGTGACTAAAAAGATGAGTGACTTAAGATTCACTGAGTGATACTGCAAATGCAACTACTGAAATACCAAAGGAGTAAAGGATACATAGACCTTTGCCCATTACATCAAGAAAATGAAAAAGTTAGAAAGGGGGAGGATTCCTGTGTTATATTTTTCAAGTCGTACTCCAAAAGGGGTAACCAGCTTATTAGTATAGGTGCCAGGAAACTTGCTTTTGTGACATCTTACCAAGCATACCTACATTCACTGGACCATAGAAAGATCAATCCTGTCTGAAAACCACCCATTACCTAAGACACCTAATTTATATTAAGCTCAGTAAAAGGCACTGTCTGGCCCCCAACCTTCACTTACAATGATAAAGAGGATGTTTTACACCATATGTGACACTTAATCAAAACCGATATTCTTTAACAAACCCTTAACCTTTAGCACACAGAAGTCACTTGAGGCCAAGGGACAAGACACAGATCCAGCTCAGGGTGGCATATCCTTTGATTAAGATGATACAGATTTCCCATCTTTACAAGGGTAACAAATTCTGGATATATCCCCTTTTGATTTGTCAGCATTAAATTTCTGTAGAGGTTCAAGCCAAAGAAAGACCACAACTAGTTCTATCTTCAACTGTGTATTAGGAAATAATTTCTCAAAATCCGCTACAGTAATGATCCTCAGATCTTCTGATCTTTCTGTAAGCAAGTTTTTCTGGGAACCTGGATTTAAACTATGGCACAAACCTTGCTTGTATCTGGGTCCTTTCTTAAGGAGGAGTATCTAAATACACTTATTCTACAAGCCCTGGAACAGACCTTTTTTCTTTTCTCAGGTCTTTTTCAAAGAGACAAATCTTCAAGTGAGTTCTTTCACGCTCCCCTGGATTTCTGGGGCAGGAGGTTTTACTTATCAAGTATACAGTACTTTAGACAAGCGTAGCAAACTTCAGGGGGTTAGACAGTTTTTACTATCTGCAGTATATTGGAATTCTCCTCAGTAGAGTCCACTTTACTCCAGCATGGTATTTTGTACAGTTTTAGATTTTTGTAGATATCCAATTTGGGGAGGTGAAAGACTTCCCTAGATCTTCACTGGTGTAGGGAAAAGTTTTCTGATTTATCCATCAAAGATATTAACTCAGATTACCTTTAGCCATCTTTGTAAAGCGCTTTGAGATCTACGGATTAGAAGTGCGACGTACGTACTAATTATCCTCACAAGTGTTGAAAGAAAAACTAAATGTATGCCCTATTTTTTTTTCTGTATGATATATAAAGAAAGGAGTGTGTGTGTGTGTGTGTGTGTGTGTGTTTGTGGGGAGGAGAGGATTGTTTTATTTTTTGTTTACATTCTGCATATTTTAAACAATAGAAATGTAAGCCTTGTCTACTCTGTCAGACTCTGTGGATGACTGGAGAATTGGTAGAAATCATAGATGCCAAGAAAGTGAACCTCATTATTTGTGATTTTTATTCAGACTGTTCAAAAAAATGTTGTCTTTGTGTTTGCGAACACTTGTGTCACCAATACACTTAGGTCAAAAGCTCTTTTTGTTAAGGATTCATTCCGTTTCCCTTGTCCTTTCCATTAGGAGCTCATCCAAAAAGTCCTGTAGCAAAACAGGAGAGAGAAGACTTAACATGGCAAGGTACACCAAGAAAACAAAAGACAAGCAGGTAATAATGAATTTAAAATCTTCTGGGCTTTCTTTATGCATAATAAAGAACAAAAAGGAAGAAAAGCCATTTTTTTTCTTCATTCAAGTTACTCTTTGAGTGAGGGGTGAGAAAACTTCAATTGTAAATGGAGGCCTGTAATCATGTTAAATTATCTTTAAGGAAAACTTCTGTTTAGTGAATGCAAAGCTGACAAGCAAAAATCTGGAGGGCTGGTTCTAGTTTATGACATAACATACATTAAAAAAAATCAGTCTTTTCTTCTCCATCTCCTTCTAGTTTTTAAAACTTCAGTACTAAGCAAAAGCATTCAAGGAGGACAATGATTCCTGCTGTTTACCCTCAACTACCCACCTATCTAGAATTCTTAATCAGAGAATTAACTGAACACTGAAATTTTTAAATTTAGCAAAATCTCAAGATTTTATGAGGGCACTCTGCTGGAAACAGTCTTTCACTTTAACATTTCACAGAATTGAAGCTTAAGGAACCATGTTATTTCCTGAATCAAAAACATCAAAGTTTGTTTTAACTAAATATGTCCTTTGTATGGTTTTTTTCTCTTTATTCCAGATTGAATCTATATTGTATTTTCTCTGGAAGTTAAATTTACTGCACTGCAAAATACTTCAACACTCATACATTAATAGTCAATAAATCAAAGTAATCAGCCCCTTTGCAATACATGGAGGGGGAGCAGTACTGGGTAGGTTTTCACTGGTCCTAAAGCCACCTTTGATAACAAGTATGTTTTGGTGTTTTACACAACAGGAAGAAGAGACAGTATCCTGTATCACTGTCTAATTAATACATTCACTATTTTTTATTTTTTCGCGATGCAGTAAGAATTGAAAAGGGCTGTAATCTCGAAGTCTTCCATTTTTGAAGTGTTTAACAGCATATTTTAAATGCAAATGCTTTTATGCATGCTTTTTTCCTTTAGGATTTTGTGGGAAAGAAAAATGCACATAATGAAGAGGTTAGTAGAGGAAGTAGAACTTGGTGCAATCTAGTCCAGATTTCATCTGAAACACAGTTTAGTGTAAGTGGGAAGCTGGTCTCAAAGCACTAGGTAAACCCCAGTGCATCCAAGAACGGCTGCATTCCACAGCATTAGAAATCAGTCTAGTACGGTTTTATGGTTACGGAATGTTAACAAGGAGATCTGTGTGGCACAGAAGGGATTTATTCCCAATATGTTGTAAAGAGTTAATTAAGATCAATGCTTTTTCCTACTGGACTCATCTGAACTATCTTTACTGATAACAAATGTCTGATATTTATTTTAAAAATGACACCTCCCCCTCAGTATCTACATCAATATTTTTTAAATTTAAAGAACTTTATGTAAAGTATCAATACAGTTCCTATTAAACCTCATCAACCCAAGAGCAAATATTTGTTTAAAATAGCTTTTTGAATGTGAAATGTGCTGAATGTACCTCTCCCCAGCATCTGAAATACTAAACAGCACTTTTCCCAGAGTTGGGGGAGAGAAGCCCAAGATTCTGATCCAAACACCCCACAAACTGTGAGGAAGCGAAGATCCAAGCAGAACCTTGCAGCTCATGCCTATCAATTCTTTTAAACTAAAAACTACTTCAGAAGTTTGTATTCTCAGGCATGGAACACAAAGCCCATTTTGCCCATAGTTTATTCATTTGGTTTACTGTTCATTATGTCCCAGTGAATAAAGACATTTATTCTCAAACTACATGGGAGGGTATTTAATGTTCCAGATTTAAAGCTTTCTTTAGCAGAACTTTGGCTCCACAGTTCACAGGAAAAACATGCCTCTAGGGGGCTGAAGAGCTGGATTAAAGTATTTACAGCACTCTCCAGGTTGACTTTACATGTGGGGTCAGTTAAAAGCTGCAGAGTCCCATGGCAAGGTGCCAGTTCTGTGTTTTGTTTTAAATTGAAAGCTTTTAAGGGGACTGGTCAATGGTTTTTAAGACCAAGATTTGACCCCCATCTTCAAATTGTTATTATGTGATGAGGGGAAGTTTTTTGGATTCATTATATAAAAATAAACAAACATATCCCAAACCAACCACTCTGTAGCTTTGTGCTCCCTCTACTGATTCAGCTGCTACAGCTCAGTAAAACAATATCCCCAGAGCTTTGCTAATATGTAGATCAGCCCAGATCTTTAAGCACAGCAGACACTGGAGGAGTTGAAGTTGTTTTGTTAAATGTAAAACCACAACCCAATTTCAGCTCCATTCAAACACAAGAATAGAGAAAGATGTATTCACTTTCACCATTTTAAGACAGTGCCCCAAGCAATGGCAAATAAATAATAAACTATATAACAATGCGTCTCATCCTCTTTGGCAGCAAAGTCACTAGAGATTGTACCTTCTTTAGTTGTGCTGATTTAACCTTCTTTGAAAGAGGTAGGAGCTCAGATTCCCCAGCCATAAGTGAGAACAGAATTAGTTCCCTCCTGTGACTTCGTGCTCCTGCAAGTCTGTGGTGAACTGTTGCCTATTGACAAATATAAGGTGCCTACTACAGTTCTGAGTGCTGTGATCATAATAATAAGCAATAGAAGACCCATACTTCTGGGCTGGCAGAAACATTTCCAGAGCTGCCAGCCTTACTTACTATAGCCTGATACCTACTCTGTGCCTAAAGCCCGGACAGCACTGGCAAAAACAGGAGCTCTAATTCACATCTGTGGAGCTCCACCAGGAACTTTCAACATGGCGGATTATTTTCAGTGGTTATCATTCTGTTGGTCGAAGCACTGTTTCACATCCACTGGCATTTCTACCACCATGTTGTTTTGACCAGCCCCAAGCAGACTAACCTTAGTTACAGCTTTTAAAATGTTTGTTTATTTTCAGCCTAAATCAAAAGCTGGGTAACAAAGCAGCTGGAAGGGTAGCATCACTGCTTGACTATGGGGCATGTGTAGGAAAAGGCAATTGGAACTAGTGTCCCCTTTCTCTGCACTGACTCTTGACATGAGGTTGGCCTTTACACTCTACTGAGAGTTTTCCTCGCTAACTTATAGCCTGCAGGGATACACAAAATCTTAACTATGTTTGCTGCTTTGCAAACACAAAAACAGAAAAATCATGTTATCAGACACTAAGGAATTAAGAAGTATGCGTTTTAATCAGTTCTAGCCATTGGAATAGAATACAGAAAAAAGGCATCTGTTACTTTAGGCAACATTATGATATAGTATTGCCATCTCCTGTGCTGAACAGTTGACAAATATTAATAGCTAAAACGCAATTAAATAGTCGCCTGGAAAGCGAACATGAGCTTAGAATAGCTGCATGCTTTTTGGAAGCTTTTTAAATGGCTAGTGTGACAGTCTTATGAAAAACTATAACAATGTACAGTTAGATCTCAGCTGCCTATTTTCTGAAAAATAAATTGAATAAACGAGCAGTTACTGCCACTGCAATTAGGCTCCAGTGTACGCTACTGACAACTTTGAGAAATTTCAGCTATGAAAATATCAAATGTCATGAGGTGTCAGAGACTAACAGAAAAATAAAACAGAAAATTATCTATGCCCTTTAAAGGTTTGCCACAGGACAATTTTAATTTTACAAATAAAAGCCAAAATCAATTTATGGACTGTTATTAATTCTTTACACCAGTACAACAAAACTTTATTCCCCTTCCCTGTCAGGTGGAGTGAAAAAATGGTTACAACAAAGTGTAATAATAAACCACAATGGATGGCGATGAAGGGAGGTATATAGTGGATTACCCAAGGGGTCAGAATTCAGATGAGTTTTATTTAACACTGTCGTTAATGATCTGTGAGATGGAGCACATTAACAAATTCACAGATGATACTAAACTGAGATAAGTTATGAACATTAGTGAAAGTAGAGAAATAATGCAAATGGACTGAGAGATGTTAGAAAGATGGGCAGACAATATCAATGAGATTTCACTTGGAAAAATACGAGCAATGCCTGGCAAAAATAATCCAGAATGCAGATAGTTAATAAGAGATTGAGACCTGGGAAGCATCAGTGCTGAAAAAGACCTAGAGGTGATAGTGGACAACAAATTAGACATAAGTTTGTAAGTGTGCTAGGGCTTTAATACATCACATCATGAAACAGGAGACTCTGGTGCAACTGTACCCAGAACATTCCCTTCAGTTCAATGTACTACATTACTAGTGAGATACAGTATTGACAAACTGAAGGAGTACAGCAGAGATCAAGCAAAATGATTAGGAGCAGGAATGAGTTATTTACAAGGAAAGATTAAAACAGGTAAATATGCATAGCTTGGCTAAGCAAGCATGACCCAGATTTATAAAGGTACTTATGTGTTGCTCCATTCAGTGTTGCAAGGCCTAAGTGATTTACCCAGCTAAGTCACATTTTTCAAAAGTGACTGAGGTACTTAAGCACCTAAGTCCCCTGGGACTTTGCTGTTTAAGGGTACCTCTACACTTTGAGCTAGAGAGGTAATTGCTAGTTTTAGGAGATTTACCCATGCTAGCTCTGACTGTGCCATGCCAAAAATAGAAATGTAGCCTAGCGTCTTGGATGGGTACTCAGGGCTGCTAACCCCTCACACCACCACAGCTACACTCTATTTTTATGTTTTCTAGAGCCAGAATTTACACCTCCCCCTCAAAGTGTCAACATTCCCTAAGTAACTTAGGCCTTGCAATGCTGAGCAGCACAACACCTAAGTACCTTAAAAAATGGGCAATGAGCCTACAGCTATTTGAAGGGTATAAATAGGAAGGAGAGGGATGATTCCTTTAGTATGCAATATGGATGCATCAACAGGGTAGCAAGATGAGATTAGAAAGGAAAAAAATTGGCTGAATATCACAAAATCTTCCTGAACCATGAAATGTGCTAGGCTGCAGAGAACCCCTCTCTAGACAAGAGGAGAAAGCCTCACGGCTTGGAACTTTTAGAATCATACTGCAGAA